TTCAAGTTCGAAGTACCCATTTGTACTATTCAGAAAAAGATGTAGTGGATTGGAGTTTTTGAGAGGAAAAATTAAGTAAATAATACTAAATTGTTCATCTTTTAGCAATCTATAACACTTTTGGAATCTCTGCCCCCATACGAAATAAACTTACATAATTTATTTATTGATTTTTCATTCTCATTTCTCTGGTCCCCATGCATCATGCTTGAGGAATAGGAAAGAATAAGAAAAAGCAATAATAATAATTATGATGATAATGATGGAGAATGATTTTTATGATGATTATTCTACAAGGGTTAAGAAATAATCATCATGTAATATAGTTTCCATCATGTTACTTCTGTAACTAGTAGACAAATTTAAATATTCTCAATCTATATTGTTCTTCCACAGTTATAATAACCATGGTAAATAATCTGCTTTTTTTATGATTGTTATGATGATCATGATAGTTACTCTTTATGATCCACCGATTGCTGATAAATTACTCGTTGTGATTAGCATTATGTGGTAACCTTTAGTCTTGAGACCTCAATTCGCTTAGTGGAGTAACATAGGAAAAGTACCAAAGAAAATTAGAAATATTGTTGGAATTATAAAATAATAAAAAGAAACATTACAATAAATAACAATAAAAGATGGAAAAATCTGATCATTAATGTAGTAGTGGTATTAGAAGGAAACGAGGGCTATATTGCAAACAATTTCCTTAAAACATATTTGCCTCCCACTATAGTGCAAGAGAATTGATGAAATCTGTTTTTCAAGATACAACGATTGAAAGTAGTTGATTAACACCTTATCATTACTTTAAGCGAACTAAAAATACTCACAACTCTATCACCGAGTTAAAAGTAATTATCTAAAATACTAAAAACACAACTTTAGAAAACAAAGAGAAAATAGAGAAACTTAGAAAGCTCTCAAAGCTTGATGTGTGGAATAAGGAGGAGAACTCTTCCCTACAAAATACTAGGATGAGAAGGTTTCCATTTCAATTCTCCATTAATTTGAATTAATATAAAAATGTTACCCCAATTCAATTTGGAGTTTTAACATAAGATTGTTACATCAATTCAATTGGAAAATTAACTAGAGAATTGAAACCATTTGTTATTACTTTATTTTATATTTTAATTTTTTTACAACACCATTTACATAAAAAATGAGATTCGACAAAAACAATGAATATATGCATATATCTTTTATTTATTTTTTGAAGATATATAACATGATACTGAAGATGTATGATAATGACGCTAAATAAAATTTAATTTTTTGTTAAGTACAGCATTGTTATCAAATATATTGAAAGTTGTGTGTGCATTTGTATTTTCAAGCTCTTATACTCGATATATAAGTATGATATCACGTTAAATCATAGTTATTAGATTCGATCCGGTGGTCAACCCCAAAAAAATCATTGGGTCACCGAGTCTGTGGTTTAACCATTGAATCGATGGTTGAACTGATGGGTCATTATTAGATTGTAATCTCAATTAAAATATATTTTTGAAACAAACAGAAAATGATTTTGCTAAATGTGTGTGTGCGTGTGGCACATATAACAACAGAGTTTTATCAGCTTCCTAAATGGTGAAAGACCTAAAATTTCATGTAGAAAGCCAAGGTTCGAACTTCGAATCATCCTCTTTGCAAATTGAAAAAGAAGAATTTTACATTGTACTTTGTAAATTGAAATATATATATTTGCCTCACAATATAGATTAAAGATTAGCAAATTCCAAAGTGGTGAAGTACATGAAATTTCAAGGAGGAGAGCAAGGTTTGAATTAGCCTCTTTGCTTGCAATTCGATATATATAAAAAATAATAAATAAAATTTATATTGTACTTTGGTGACCGTCCGATTCACACATTTAACCAGATCCGATTTGTCTTAAACCCGTTCGATTCGAGTAGAATTTGAGTGTTTCAATCGGTTCTTGACCGATTCCTTTGTTTATTTGTCCAATTAATGAATTCGGACCACGATCCAAACTGACTAGTTTGGTCCCATTTTAATAACTATGTGTTAAATAGTTAATATCATTAAAGAAAATTATTTAAATATGATCCTTCCCACTAAAAATAGAGGAAAATTACAACTAATGTCTTGAATATATATATGAAATCGAGCAAGTAGTTCCACAAATTTTCCTCTAGTGACTGAATTCCTAACAATTTAGTATTTTAGTATTTGAGTCCATGAGGAAACGGAAGAATTTGTTTCTCTTAAAAATCAATTTCCATATTGACCTTCAAATCTGGATGGAGCTTAGCCATGTCTCCATGTATCATTCTAGTTATCATAGATTTACAATCCCCACCCAATGTCCAAGGTGGAAAATGAAGGAATGGGACACCCTTTTGCTCTTGCAAAGATGTAATATAATTCACATCGTACATGTTTCAAAGTGTCAAACTACCGTTGGCATAAAGAATCAAGCTTCAAATCCTAACCTACTCGAGCTTTACAGGACCATCCTATATGATTAAGGGTTGGTCCCTGTTGATCACATTGAACAGGAGAAGATACGAGTGTGCATGGAGTTACATCGCTTTGAATGTTGTTGTTAATGTGGTTTGGTGTTGTGTTGTGCTCTCAATACCTCTCAATAAAGTCATTGAGTTGATGGTGATGACATCATTGCCTCAGAGCAAAAAGTGCTTGCCTATTGTGCTTAGTTGGCAATCAAGTGATTTATCAAGTAGATAGAGACGTAACATTTTGTATAAAAAGATTATTATATTTTACTTTTAAACAAATAAATGATAAAGAGAAAAAGGAGAACTCAATATGCTATATTATGGGGAAAAAAAAGAAGCATTTAAAAAAAGAAGAAGTTTGTGGGCGTTATGGAGAGGATGAAATTCCACGGGTAGGAAATAGTGGTTGGAGACTAGAGAGTGATGGACTAGTGACGACGATGGATTAGAGAATAGGGTGCTGTGATTGTGGTTTTTATTTTTCTTTTATGTAAAGGCATCCTAGTTTTTATAACACAAAATTTGACTTTTTAACCATGAATTTCATGCGTTCTATCTATTAGAGATCTAAGTGCTACAAACTAAAATGTTGAAGCCCTAAAAGCTATAAATTGAATATTGAAGGCTTACTTGCTCTATTATATATAAATTGAATACCCCATCTGTTATTTTCTGAAGGAATTTATTGATACTTTTCTTTTGAGTTAATTGCTTCAATAATCACCTAACTTATATCATGGTCACGATTTACTTAATAAGCTTCAAATTGCTTCATAGTACTTACTGAACTTTGTCTGTTTACACTTCATATATCATCCTAAAAAATTCTTCACCTTATTTGTTGACATGGCTAATGAAGATTTAAGGCGCCGTTTGATTGTACCAAGTTTTTGGCTGCATGATAGCCTTTTTTTTCAAGGAATTAGTTTTCTTTTTTTATTCGAGAATTAGCAATTTTCCATGTTTTCATGAAATTCAAATTCTCAACACATTGGTGAAAATTCAAATTCCAGGCTAATATACCCTTTTTTTTGGTTGGTAATAAAAACAAATTTTAAGAACTATTGTAAAAAAAATATTTCCCTTTAATTAACAATTTTCATGTAAAACAAAGTCAAACGAACACCAAAGATAGATAATTTTCTTGAATTTCTTTTTTTGGCAATGAAAACAAATTTCATCTCCAATACAAGTAAAATCTATTCATTTAATTGACAATTTTTATATAAAACAAAGCCAAACGAACAGAAAAAAATACTTTTATTTCAACTTTTTTACTTGAAAAATTATACCAATCAAATACAATAATTCACAATTCCGAAGAAAATAATTTCTAGACAATTCAATTATCTGAAATTCGTTTTCAATTTAATTCAATTTCATCTTTACAATCAAACGAACCTTAAGTGGAAAATCACATCCAAATTTCATCGGTTAATAAAATTACAATTCAATCAAACCATTGTTTCACTTCTTGTCCAACTTACACTAGTTTACCCATCAAACTTCAAAATGCTTTCTGATAATTACTTATCTTTGAGATGTTGCATTCCATTCATTATCCGCCATATTTCTTTTACTTCATTGCCAATTTATTGTACGAGAATTCCACTGGTAATTACAATCATCAAAAAATTACAACTCAGCTAAATTATTAACTCACAAAAATCACCATATATGAAACACGACTTCCACGTCCCATAAATTTATTTAAAATCCAATAAAACTTCCCCAATTTTAGCCCTAAAAAATCTAGTGATAAGTACATTATGTTATACTTATTTAGGCCTTTAAATTAGAATATTTGTAGAATATTTTAATGAATTATAACTTAATTCTATATATATTTGTTTGTTGGGTAAAGATGGACAAAATTTATGGAATTTGAGACAATGAACGAGGTGAAATATAGACATAGCATTTTCACAAATTAATTTCCAACAGAAAAAGTTATATTTCAAATTTTCAATCTCAAATTAAAACCTATTTTTTGCATCGTAAACGTTCGAATAAGAAAAATGATATTTTTGAAAGAATCATTGGGGGCACTTTACTCGGCTTTAAAAAAGTTTATAGAGCTGTGGAAGTCACGTTTCATATATTGTGATTTTGGCGAATTGATAATTTTGTTGAGTTGTTATTTATTTAACATTTGCAATTTACCACGTGGAATTTCTATGCGAACATTAGCTAGAAAGGGAACAAAATATGGTGGACGATAAATGGAGTGCAACATCTCAAATACGATGACCATGTAAAAGCATTTCGAAGTTCAATGAGTAAACTATGACTGAGTGTAAGTTGGATGAGTAATAAAATAATGGTTTGATTGAATAGTAATTTTTTAACGACCATAACTTGTTACGTCAGATTTTCGTTAACCACGTTAGCGAATAAGGTAATGAAGTTTTTAGGGTGATGAATGAAGCGCAAATAGATAAAGTTTGATGAGCACTGTCAAACATTTTAAAATTTAGTAACTAGACTTTGACAATGGTACAAGTTCGGTGAATTTTAAAACAATTATCTCGTCTTCTTTTTTGTCGCAACTGTTAGAGCCGTCGATCGGAAAATTTCAATTTACGAAATTAGAACCACACCCAGAAAGCTCACTTGGCACTCTCCACTCTCTCTCTGGAGGTATATTTCACAATCACCAGCTTGGGAATCGATCGATCAAAACAAGGAATTTCTTCCCTAGAGGGATTCTCTTTACTAACTTTGTTTCATTATTCATTTAATTTTACAGGTTCATAAGTGAAGAATTTAACATCCCAGCATTTCCCTCTTGTTAAAGTGGGATTTGTCAAATAAATTCCAAATGGGTCAGATCCAGTACTCGGATAAGTATTTTGATGATACCTATGAGTACAGGTACTTCAGTTTACCTTCATTTTTCTTCTTACGTGAATTGCTATCTGTATATTTCTGTACATATTTTACTGGGGTTTTGAAATTTTCAGGCACGTGGTTCTTCCGCCTGAAGTTGCTAAATTGCTTCCAAAGAATCGCCTCCTCTCTGAAGTAAGTTGTGCGTTTTGAGGAAAAATTTGCACTTCTATTTACGAATTTATATTGTTACTAACTTGAATTAATCACTGTGGAGAAATTATAAAATGGATAAATACCTAAAATATATATGACAGAGGAAATTCTAGAAAACACTATGTTCATATACGGCATATTTGGAAATTTGCAGTCTCTGTATTGTTAGTTCATACAAAGTAGCAAATAACATATTTTATTATGTCTCCATTAAAGAAAGCTAGAAAAAATTGTAAATGAATGTGCAGTAACAAATATCAGAGTTGTGCCATTTGAGTTGAAGGATATTATTTATACCTAGTGATAGTGATGTCTATAGCGTGTTTGGCTATGTTTAATAGTTAATTATAACTTAAGAATAACTTTTGTTTTGTTAAACATGTTTTAGCTATTGCAAAACTTACATTTTTTTTTTATTTCGTATTTAAACTATGACTTATGGACCCTCCTACTAGGGCCATGTGTCCAACATGTATCGTGTAGAGTCGGAAACCAACACTTCAAGGCATGTTTTCGACAAGTCTATCTTTTAAATATATATTGCTCAAGGGATTGAATTAATCACTGTGAAAAAATTCTAAACTGATTAAATACCTGAAATATATATTGAAGAGGGAATTTTTATTTTATTTTTTTGTGACTGTGGGTGTCCGGATCAACTTACACACACCTTAACTAATTCCATGGGGCCCTGAAGTTTACAGCGGGGTACTAACTTCAGTGGCCTAAGAGGACTCAAATTGGTGATCATTGGAAAGCAAAATCAAGGTCTGACCACTGAGTTACTCTCAGAGTTATATTGACCGCATAACTGGAAATTTACAGTCTTTGTATTATTAGTTCGTGCAAAGTAGCAAATAACATATTTTATTATATATCCGTTAAAGAGAACTAGAGAAAATTGTAAACGAATGTGCGGTAACAAATGTCAGATTTGTGCCATTTGAGTTTAATGATATTATTTATACTTGGTGATTTCTAGAGCATGTTTGGTAATGCTTAATGGCTAGTTATAACTTGAAATAACTTCTTTTGTCAAGGGCAGCATACTGTGGTCATGTCTCCAAGTCATGTTTTTGACAAGTTGTATCTGTTAAATATCAAATCCTCAGGGGATACTTTATGGAAACTCCTTGGGCAACGGTCCAACATGCCATGTATAGTGTTCTATTATTAAAAATATAAAAATAAAGATATAATATATAAAATAAAATCTTAAGAAATTTAAATTGACATTTATGTCCTACTTTTTAAAAAAAGCATGTGTTGGCATGTCCATGACCGTTTTTAGTATTCAAAAACTTGTGTTACTAAAAGTGTCTTTATGGAGAGACTTACCTTTTTTCAAGCTTAGCCAAACATGCTTAGTTGTAGTTTCAGTTGAATTATATTCCTATAATATTGTAACTTTACTAGTTGGTTGAGATGAATGTTGATGATTTGTGCTAATTTAAGTTGAATGGTTTTTGCAATTAGGGGTTATTTGTTATGTCTAAACCATTTATAATGGCATTTCATCTTTTCTACTTTTCTATTTTGTTACTGCACATGAAATATCAATAGGAAAATTTAGTTTACGTGTATATGCTGTATGAAGTGTAGTTACAGCCCTTTATACAGGGCATTTTTTTTTTTAAATTTCCTAGTTTTTATTATTTGAAGGAATGTTTCTGTTTTGTGACTTGGAAAAGTAAAGTAAGAAATGAATTTTATTTCCTAGTTTTTCATTTCGTTAATTGAACTTAATGATTTTTGCTTCAAGATTATGGCTGTGAAATTGAAGATAAGAAAGAAACTGGAATTTTCCTATTTTGCACGATGTGTTCAAGTGAATTTAATCAGTAAGATATTGTAATGATACTTGGGAAGTTACTAAAATGATCAAATTAACATGCTTTGACATTTTTCTTCTGTTATCGTGGAAAACTTACAGAGACCACGAGCATAAAAGATTAATTATATTATCGTTTTCATCATGTTCTTAAAGTTTTTGAGTTGGGCAGGAATTCTTTTTCAACTTCTCTGGAAATTATGAAGTGTGGTTGCAAAATAGTTTGTTTTAGTTTACTTTTAAACAGAGACTTGAGGAAATATAAAGTGCAACTAAGATTCCTCTTATAGATGCTTTTTAAGTTTTGTAATTTGGTTGGTTGTTAGAATGAATGGCGTGCAATTGGGGTTCAGCAGAGGCGAGGGTGGGTTCATTATGCTATTCACCGCCCAGAACCTCACATCTTGCTCTTCAGGAGGCCACTAAACTATCAGCAGCAGCAGGAAAACCAGGCTGGGCAAAACATAGTTGCCAAGGGATGATTCCTTGCTTCAGTTTTCCACCTTTCTGACGTCTGATTACATATTGTTACTCTCATTTCTGCTAGAAATGAACCCCGTCTATGATAAATACTCTGTGAAGAAATTTGTGCACTGGGTGAATGTCAGAAGTGTTTAGTGCTGTGATGTGGAGAATTCAATGTCAAAACTTCTGTTTCAAAGACTTTGATGTCAAACTGTTACCTGAAATGCATTAGTAAAATTTCAGATTTGCTGTTAAACTCTTGTTCTGTTTACTGGTGTTTGAGGATTCTCAATTACTGTGTTGCTCTATCTTGCTTGGGTATCTTCTAGTCCTCAACTTTCAGTTATTAAATTGTTTTGGGGCCAATATTTTGCATATTTATCTCAATCTCTTAAAAGATTTTCATATTCTCAAGTGATGTTCAGAAAGATATTAATGGTCTGAAAATAATTAGTAATATCTTCTGGGGAGACATGCATTTTCTGTTGTTTGAACTTTGGCTTTTAGATGACATAAAATGTGTGAAAAGTTGTTTATGCAACTATTGTGATCGGCTTAATAGTAGTTGTAAGTTTTCTCCTTACATTTTAGGATATTAAGATTGCATCAACGACTATTAATCTATTATAGCATGCCACAACATTATATGGACTACTAAGACATTATACTAAGATGATTCTTCCAGTAATTTACCTGTCATCTAATTGCATTTATTCTGCACTTTGAGATCCAGAAGCTTAAACCTGGTTGAGCTGCCCAGGTTAGCACGACATGGTCCAGCCTGGCGTAGGTCGTAGCCAACTGGACCTGCTTTAAACCTAGCCATTCCCCATCTTCGTTTACGAATTAATTACCAGAGAGTGCCCAGAAAACAAGGCAACACAAAATTGTGTACCACGAGAGCATTGCCAATTAAGGTCACCACAATATTTCTCATGTGAGCGCAGATCAGATAGAATGGAAACCTGTTTCGTGTTGCAGCGTTTGCAAATATACATTTTCGGACAATGGCTCCTCTGGTAGTGATTCTTCCCACGAATCATGCATTTCAATGGTTGAAACTTCTTATGGTTCTTGTACCATAAACTTCTCATGGTTCTTGTTCCATCTGCAAACTTCTTGTGGTCATGAACATTTTCTCGACAAAACACAGAATTCCCATAGTTTTTACAAGATTACTCAGAGCATTCTTAGAATTGTATGAATCGCCATGAGCCCTCATGTGCATCCTCAAATTTGCATCCGTTTTAAACCCTTTGCCGCAAACTTGACAATAATGTGTATGCTTTGCTAATAAATCTGCAGCATCCCAATTCGATGATATCATAATTCTTCGTCGAAAGTAATTCCTCTCTACAAAATTCATTCTTAGAAGATGTACTAGGATTATCATAAATTGTACTATATCAATCAAACGTAAAATTGAAATAGAAATCCTGCTATCCCCACGTAGGGATGTCAATTGGGCCGAGCCGACTCGGCTCGTCAAAGCTCGTCAAATGACGAGCCCGAGCTCGAGCCGAGCGGGGGGTCGCGTCCAACGAGCCGAGCCCGCTAGGCTCGTCGAGTTCGACAAGCGGCCCACGAGCCGGCTCGTCCAAAAAGTGGAAAAAATTAAAATTTTATCAATAAAATATAAAAACTTTGCAAAAAAAATAAAAATAAAAAAAAAATTCACAAGCTCGTGAGTCGCTCGTGGGCTCGGCCCGACCCGGCCCACGAGCTCGTGGCTCGTGAGTACACGAGCTCGTGGGCCGAGTCGAGCTCGGCTCGTGAAAAAGGGCCACGAGCTCGGTTCGCCATGAGCTCGAGCCGAGCTTGTGGGTTAACGAGCCGAGCCGGCTCTGCTCGGCCCACTGCCACCCCTACTCCCACGGGTATGGCGCAATAACAAAGCAGGAGGGTTCTATATGGAGTATCGGAGGTTGGAATCCTCACGGCAACTGGAAGGTAACATTTATGTTGGAAAACAGTTGTTCTGTGGAGACAAAGTTATGGTGCGTTTTGTCGTCTCTCTGGAGTCCTATCCACACATTTAAAGGGAGGTCTACAGGGAGGAGAACCGCATCCTGAATGTTCAACCCAAGTGCGTATAAGTCGTGACCGCATCCGAATTTATCTGGATGGCGAACCAGGGGGGAAGGACGCCATTCCTCAGGCTTAGTTAGGCGAAGTTTGGACATCTGAGTCATAAAAAAAAAAAAGGAAATAGAAATCCTGCATGTGCGATTGAATCTATGAACCATTGGTTGAATTAGGTCATCCTGGAAGCAATTCCTCGCTGTCACCCAGGGGTGGGTCCACCTGGCATTTGAACATCATAGATGATGTAGTAACGACAATTTCTTGAATTAGGGGTATTCATGATTGTGATCCCCATTGGAGTCAACTCCGATGGCTGGCTATGATGTTGGGATAACAAAAAGATGCCAACAGTGACTATACTTGATGAACCTTTTCCTTCCTTAAGGATGGATAGATTGTTAAGGAAAGAACTTGTGTGTATATCTCAGTTTGCTTCAACCATATTGTTTTGATCTTGAGAAACACCATATATTGGCAAGATTGGTGGCTCATTAGGTATGAAATTGCTTCTATAATCATCTTAAAAGAATTAAGCTGATTTCTCAATTTGATTCAAATTTCTTCAATTCCTACAGTTTTACAAGTATGAATATAATTCATAAGCAAAGTACAAGGAATATGTTGAATAAATAGGCAATCTTTTAGCATTTTATATATGCAAGCCACTAAATGTTTAAAAACATAAGTTAATTTTCATCAATGCTACAGAGATAACTACTTAAATTCATAATGATACACATCAAAGTTAACAAAGTCTGTTGGATAGTTTTTGTTTCAATGTGTTCGGTCTGATTTTCAAAATACTAATTGTTGACCTTTGAAAATGGCCAACAGGTATTGTTAGAAGACAATGTACACATGAACTTGCTTTGTAATATTTCTATTGTAAATATGAATGTTTGTAGAAGAAGAAGATGGTGACAGGGTAGAGATATATTATGTCATCTTTTTCATTCATAGATTCATCCTTTTAAATGATACAATAATTGTCTATTTATTGTGATCAGGCCGATGTGGTCACCATTAGATTCGAGCCACGTGGCTTGGTCTGACGACGCTTGATGTCACATTAACCCTACTTCAGGCACGTCGCATCAATCAACTTCGGAGACATGCCTGCTGAACCTATCAAGGACCTCAGATATTCCAAGGAGTTTGGCAACAAGAGACGAGCAAGGGTAGGACCACCTCGGCTGTTCTTAGTGTAATGACCTCGGCATTCAATCGCGACTACTTCAAATGTTGCAGTTCTTGGATGACTTGGATATTGCCACGTATAAATACGGAAAGTCTATGTGGCCATTCTATATGATCAGTAATAATAGTCTTCTAAGTCCATGTATGATCATTCATGTGGTATATAAAGTTTGACTTTTTAAAGAAAAGAAATCCACACAGCAATGATAGTCCCCCAAGTCTAATCGTTTAAGTATTCGTATGAGAATTTTGGACTTGCCAAATATATATACGTCAATAGCCATCGGATCTGAGGGCAGGGCTCATGTGCCTTGCACAACTAAATGGCCTTTCCTTAAAAGTGTTTACATGGAGAGCCAAAGTTATAAATGTTGAAGTTGTTAGATGTAAAATTCGAGTGGTTTGTACCGTTGTAGAAGTGGTTAGAATTTCAACTGAAGTGGTATGTTGTGTGAGACGATTTGGACAGTTTGAACGTCTCTTGTCATTTATTACCATTGATTGCTATGCTGTCGTTTTACCTTCCCAAGGAGGATGGTGCCCCCCGTTTTCAATGTGTTCCATTGAACACGTGTTTTGATTTGGGCTGTGAAGCTGAAACGTCAAACTCATCGAATGGTCTATATGTGACCAGGATTTGGGCAGTCCAAATCTTTGAGATGTGACGATTGAAAATGTATGCGTTTGCCTATAAAAGTCTCATTTTACTTGAACATTCATTTGCTTGCATAAATCATACTGACTCATGTCTCTGCGATATGACCGAAAATTATATTGTGCTTGGTGGATTTTGAGGGGAGTTGGTGCAAGAGATTGCTTGGTTTCGAACAATGCCATGGAGTGTGCAAATTGGATAATTCTTGGGTGTAATGCTTTGGATGCTTGGACCCATGAAAATGAAAATGCACCTTAGCACAATCTCCTTTGAACGCTTTGAAACGGTGCTGAAGTGCGGAGGGTCGCCCATTGCCCCGAATAAATTATGTTGCAATAGGGTGCAAATCCCATCTAAAGTGCTTCGAGTGACACTATGTGAATCCTCAAGGGTTGTCACCAACGTACTTTCCCTGAGCAGCTAGGCTGCTTTCTCTACTAGGCAGAGTGTATTGTAGCCATAGCTTGAGTTTCAACATGGTTCGACAGACCTCGTAATTGTAAAGGTTGCTGTATATGGTAGATGTCCTTCAAAAGGGAACGGTCCAGCGAATTATGCCTCTGATGTAGTAACTGTATTTTATCATTATTATTCACTTTTATTATTATTATTTTGGAAAGTGCTTTGTAATTCTTTGTAAGTAGCTGACTGCCTTTGATTGTAATGTGTTTGTAGTAATGAATAAAATTTCTACCTTTTCATACAGATCTGTGTTTGAATTGAGCTCTAAATCGTTACTACGTTGTAGTTGGGGGTGCCTTGGGAGGGTCATGCTCTTGCTATAGTCTCCCATTTTTCTATCTTTTTATGGGCAACTTGTGCCTTTTCGCGGAGGTAGTCCTTATAGGATCAAGCCCTCGGTGTCGTTCTACTTCTGGGGCTGATTTTTTACTTCTGAGGTAGACCTCTTCGAATTCCAGCTTCTTTCATCGATGTGCCTCTCTTAGGCTGACCTTCGTCGATATTTTCTTTTGAGCTCACATTCTGAAGTGCCTCTATTGGTTGATGTCTCTTGGCTAACTTCTTTTATTCCTTCAAAGGAATTGCCTCGAAAAATGTCATGCATTTTGCTAAAGACTTCGACGGCGTCTTCTACGTAGCATGGACTAGACCTGCCCACTATTCACATATCAAATAGGTAAGGGGCCTATTTTGCCCTTTCATTACCCATAAATGGTATCTCACATTTTCCTAAAATATAATATGGAAAAGGCTTATCATACCAGGTCATATGCCTGGCAACAGTGTGTGTAAAATGACATGTATACCAGTGCTGGTAAGAATGACGTCATGGGTTGTGAAGTATGCTAGCCATAATATCACACGCAAGCTACCGGTGAACATAATAATATCCC